CTCATAACTTAATTACCTCTCAAGGCCCTTCTTCCTAATACTATTACTTTGTAGCTTAAGATTTTAAAATATGATGTTGGCCATGGATATAAATACTCAGGTGGCAATTATCCTCAAGATCAAATATGGCATTAGAGACTGTATTATCTCATAAATTCTGCTGTTATCATTTGTTTAAAATAAATTATGACAAGACAACACCCTGAAAATTCACAGTGACAGGATGGCATGAACATAAGCATATATTTCTTTGGGCTACACAGTAGTACATGATAAAAGCCTGGTGCAGAAATTCAAACACAGAGATTTGGGGGGGAAATGTCCCTCAGCCCAGCTTGCACACTCTCCAATCTGGTACCCCTCTCACAATCCAGGAATGTTGGCTCCCAACCACTCACCTGCCTGTCTGGTTGATTAGCACTAACAGTTTCTGCCTAGCAGCCTGATCACTCCCTAACTGTTCCCCTGCCAGCCCGATTGACCTTAACTGCCCTCCCCTGCTGACATGATAATCCCCAACTGCCCTCCCCTTCAGGCCTGGTCTCCCCTGCTGCCCTCCCCTGTGGCCTTGTAACCTCTAACTGCCCTCACCCTGGTCGCCCCTAACTATCCTCCCCTGCCAGTCTGGTCACCCCTAACAGCTTTCCCCTGCTGTCCTGGTTCCCCTCAACTGCCCTCCCCTGCAGGCTTGGGTTTCCCCCCAGCAACTGTCCTCCTCTGCAGGCCTGGGTGCCCCCAATTGCCCTACCCTGCTGGCCTGATCATACACAACTGCCCTCCTTTGCAGGCCTGGTCTCTCCTAACTTCCCTCCCCTGCCAGTCATCTTATGGCCACCATCTTGTGTCCACATGGGTGCAGCCATCTTTGACCACATGGGGATAGCCATCTAATGTTTTGGAGTGATAGTCAATTTGCATATTACCTCTTTATTATATAGGATGTTATCACTTCCCACCCATTGCCCTTAAGACATACCATTGTGAGGGTATAGTTAGTTCAATTTCCAACTACTGAAGGATTTCTGTACCAATTGAAGCTATGTGCTCAGAAGACAGTGACAATGAAGACTTAGCACCCTCTTGGAATAATACCCACTGATGTCTAATGAGAACTGAGATACATGTACCCAAGTTCCTTGCCCCCAGGTGAAGTAGCTCTGAGGCACATGTCCTCCAGAAGGATTAGTTACCTGCAATCCCACCATTCTCCACAGCAGGGCTTGTGTTTGTTTTCTTCTCTGAAGTACCCTGATTGCCTAGCACATAATAGCCACTCAATCATTTTACAAACTGTCATATAGTAGAAGGTAGTGTATTGTTTAGTCTGTTAAATGATTAATTGACGAATGGATTTTCTACAAAATGACAAATATGCCACCGACGAGCAAAGACGTGATAATGTATGTCTGTGCATTCTATAATAACTATTATTCTTTTGTTGTTGTCTTGGTGGTAGTGCAGAGGGGCAGAGGAGGGTGGGAATATGTATACTATTTGCATCACTATAGATATCAATCCTAGTAATTTGTCAGGCAACACTATGGTGAAAATAATATCCAGAGTCAGTAGTCACTAGAGATAATACCATCAAATCACAAATATTTAATAGTGGTAATTAAGTGAATCTGCTTATTGATCCTTGCTTATCTTAGTACTACTGAATGGTTAAAAAAAAAGATTGAATATTATCCTATTAGTTTTAGACAATTGTTTGAAGGCAAAGGGACAGAACTTAATAATTTATGAAGGTCTCAGCTCTTTAAATAGGGGTCTAGCCCAACTGCAATTAAATGCTAGGAGAAGTTCTAATTTAAATACAATTTTATCAGCAGCCAATATTGTCTCTTCCAGCTTATTTCTACAATCTCTCTGAGGAACTAATAAATTAAAAATTAATAAACAAAAAATATATATATATAGCCTACTCACCAGTAAAATAACAGAAACCCTAATGCTAGAACTTATCAAGAACTCTTACAAATAGACAGATGAAAGGGAATTGAGAAAATGTTGACCTAATCTTTCTTTCATGGCATCCACAAACTTCACCTTATCAAACAGAATACTTTATAAAATACAGAAAAAGATTTCATACTATGGCCAACCCCTTCCTGACTCTAAGTCCCAAAGTTTGGAAACAAACAAACAAATGAACATAAATAAAAAATTAGGCACCCCTGTTTCTTTTGTGCAGATATTGCCATTGAAAAAGTTTTAATTCTGTGTCGTTCTGTTCTTCTCACAGTTTTTCTATATATGAATAGAAGTAGTGAGACAAACTAAAGTTCTTTTAAGTAAATCTATGTAAGATGAAGCCATGCTAAGTAAAGAATATCAGTAATTATGCACAAGTTTTACTTACAAAAATCAGAAAAACTGTCACTTCAGAAATGCAGAGTAGGGACAAGGGGAATTAACACTTTATATAAAAGATTTTGGTTGTATATAACTTATTCAAAGGCAACCTATGAACCAGAGGAAGACAATATCTTTATTTTCATGAAAAACATACAAACCTGGGAGACACTATTTCTTATGAGGTTGTTAGCTATAATATCTATGAAAAGGGAGTCTGTTTACAAAAAAAATGTAAACAAATAAATAAACACATACAAAAAATGCAGTAATGTTTCTTCTACTAGGGTCACAGACACTCAGAAATCCAAGGCCTCTTTTGAAAATGGCTGGGTAACAAAAACAAAACAAAACAATAAACCATAAATATTATAAAAATGTTCCATATTATACTGATAAACATTTAAGATGATATATTCTATTTATGAATTGAAAGTCTCAATTAAGTTGATGAGTACTTTTTCCAAATTTATATCAAAATTGAAAATTTAAAGGATATAAATTTATTTTAAAAACTTGTGTAATTTATTTTATTTTATTTTTAAAATATATTTTATTGATTTTTTACAGATGAAGGGGGAGAGATAAAGAGCTAGAAATGTCGATGAGAGAGAAACATCGACCAGCTGCCTCTTGCACACCCCCTACCAGGGATGTGCCCACAACCAACGTACATGCCCTTGACTGGAATCGAACCTGGGACCTTTCAGTCCACAGACTGACGCTCTACCACTGAGCCAAATTGGTTTCAGCAAACTTGTGTAATTTAATTAGTAAATTTACCAACTACAAAAAATGGAGTTAAAGGCTATACAGAGAATTTTATAGTGATGGTTTTAAAAATATATAATATAGGACACTGAAGAAAACAAAAATTGAGAAAGCATAAACTGTGTTCATAGATTAAAAGAATTAACATCATGAAAATATCCACACTACCCAATACAATCTATAGATTCAATGCAATTACTATTAAAATACCAATGGTATATTTCACAGATCTAGAAAATTATCCCCAAAATTTACATGGAACCAAAAAAGTGCACTAATAGCCTCAGCAATCTTAAGAAAGAACAAAATAGAAGGTATCACACATCTACTATAAATGTATACTGTATACAAGGCCACTGTAATCAAAACACCCTGGTACTGGCATTAGACAAGACATATAAATCAAGAGAACAGACAGAGAGCCCAGTAAACAATCCATGCCTATATGATCAATTAATATTTGAAAAAGGAGACAAGAACCTATAATAAAGTAAAGACAGTCTCCTCAATAAATAATGTTGGGAAAATTGAACAGGTATATAAAAGGAAGGAAGGAAGGAAGGAAAGAAGGAAGGAAAGAAGGAAGGAAGGAAGGAAGGAAGGAAGGAAGGAAGGAAGGAAGGAAGGAAGGAAAGAAGGAACAAACCATCATACTTAATAAACTCAAAATGGATAAAAGTTTTAAATATAAGCCACAAAAACCATATAAATCCTAGAAGAAAACAGGCAGTAAAATCTCATATATCTCTCATAACTATGTTTTTGCCAATATATTTCATAGGCCAAGGGAAATAAAGAAAAATAAATAAACAAATGGGACTATAACAAACTAAAAAAAGCTTTTGCACAGCAAAAATAAATCAACAAAATGAAAAGGGAACTCACTGTATGGGAGAACATATTCACCAATGAAACATCTGATAAAGGATTAATCTCCAAAATATATAAAGAACTTATACAGCTGAATACCCAGAAGACAAACAATCCAATTAAAAGAATGGGCTACAGACCTGAATAGATCTCTTTTCAAAGAGGACATACAGATGGCCAAGAGACATATGAAAAAATGCTCATCACTAATCATCAGAAAAAATGCCAATTAAAACCACTATGTAATATCATCTCACACCTGCCAGAATGGATACCATCAATAAATTAATAAACAAGAAGTGCTGGCCAGGATGTGGAGAAAAGGGTCCTCAGTGCATTATTGGTGTGAATGCAGACTGGTACAGTTATTCTGGAAAACATCATGAGAGTGTCCTCAAAATGTAAATATGGAACTGTCATTAAAAAAATTGTATTTATTATTGAAAATATTACATATATCCCCTTTGTATTTTTCCCATTGATCTCTTCCACCTCACACCCATCCCTCCCATGGAATTGCCATTTGACCCAGCATCCCCTCTTCTGGGAATATATCCTAAGAAACTGAAGCATCAATTTGAAAGATTATATGCATCCCCATGTTCACAGCAGTGTTATTTACAGTAGCCAAGATCTGGAAACAGCCCAAGTGCCCATCAATAGATGAATGTATAAAACAAAACAAATCTGTGGTACATTTACTTCACAATGGTACACTGTGTGTCTGTAATAAAAAAGAAGGAAATCTTTTTTAGCATAATACGCTCATGGATAGACCTGGAGAGTTTTATGCTAAGTGAAATAAGCTAGTCAGAGGAAGACAAATACCATAGCGGCTTACTTATATGTGGACTCTCATGAGAAAAACAAAACAAAACTGATGAACAAAATAAAACTAGAGGCATGGGTACATGGAACAATGTGACAGAGGTCAGAGGGGAGGAGTGAAGGAAACTGGATGAAAATGGTGAAGGGATTAGCCAAAGAACATATATGCACAGGCCATGGACGAAGACAACAGTGTGATCATGGCCAGAGGAAAGAGGGTGGTGAGGTAATTTATTTTTAGAATTTTACCTCTCAATTACAGTTTACATTCAATATTATTTTGTATTAGTTTCAGATGTACAGCAAAATGTTAGATTATCATATACTTTACGAAGTGTTTCCCCTGATATTTCCAGTCCCCACCAGGCACCATGCAGTTATTACAATATTGTTGACTCTATTCCATATGCTGCACTTTATATCTCTGTGACTATTCTGTAAATTACCAATTTGTATTTCTTAATCCCTTCATTATTTACTCAGTCCTGCAAACACTCTCCCCTCTGACCACCACTAGTCTATTCTCTGAGTTAATTTAAAAAGTATACTCATATGACTGGCTTATATATACCTGGTATCTCAAAAAAAAATGTATGCACACTCTAAAAGCTGATTCTGTTACATTTTGAAAATAAAATGTATTTTAATAAACCCTGCACTTATAATTATTCAAAATGTGTACACACTTTTGGCAGACATGCTGTATATCAATCAATCAGTCAGTCATCTGGCTATCTAGCATCTGTATATAAATAGAGAGATCTCAAATTTAAACCAAAAGAGAGACTGAGTTGTTAAATCTTGGAATAAGGACGCCTTTGTAATTCAACCTGCAGACTTCTATGTTTAAAGAAACATACTTGAATTTAATACCCCTTTATGCCAAACAATAATTAATAAAATTTAAAATATACAGTGTTAATTCCCTTAATATTTCTTTTATTCTTAGAAACTAACTAGGAAAAGGCCATATGAAAGCATGGGTAGAAGGCAATCATCTACAAGTTGGGAAAATGGCTCTCAATAGAATTCAGTATCTTTTGGCTCTTTTATAATGAACTATGAGAAAATCAGCCTGTTGTTTAAGTGATCTGTCTGTGACATTTTATTATGGCAGCCTAAGCAGACTATTACACTTGTAGATATTTTAAATAATATTGATAAAATGTCATCTTTTTAAAATTAAATTTAAAAATAGATGTTTACTAACTTGGATTAATAGTAACCCATAGTGTAAAGGTTCAACAACTGGCAATTCAATGAATCAATTTGCAGAGAGCCTAAACACATTCTTTAGTAATTTAGTAACATCCAGATACTGTGAGAAATTGAAATCTCTGCATCTCTTTTTGACTTAGCCATATATTTTTCATGCTGGTTTCTGAAATTAATGACCATATGACATCTTGTGAATTGAAACACTTTTTGAAGTTCTAACACTAATATTTTAAAAGGTCAATCTTTATAAAAAATGCAATTTAACTCCAACATTGCCTGTAACTTTGGAAATTTTTGACTTCAAGTGTTCCTTATGAGAAAAAAAATCAGTTGAAATTCCCCCAAAGAGATATAGATAATGGCAATGTGTCAAATACTACTCTGTATAGTAATTACTTTTATCTATTAATGTGGTGGAGTGGTGGGTGGAGTGAAATTATCTAACTCAGATCTATATGCAGGTAATTTTAATAGGTACCCAAACTTTTAAAAAAGCTTATATCTATGAGCAGCCCATTAGGTCAGTGGTCGGCAAACTCATTAGTCAACAGAGTCAAATATCAACAGTACACTATTGAAATTTCTTTTGAGAGCCAAATTTTTAAAAATATATTTTATTGATTTTTTTACAGAGAGGAAGATAGAGGGATAGAGAATTAGAAACATCGATGAGAGAGAATCATCGATCAGCTGCCTCTTGCACGCCCCCTACTGGGGATGTGCCGGCAACTAAGGTACATGCCCTTGACTGGAATCAAACCCGGGACCTTTCAGTCCGCAGGCTGACGCTTTATGCACTGAGCCAAACTGGTTTTGCCGAGAGTCAAATTTTTAAAACTTAAACTTCTTCTAATGCAACTTCTTCAAAATAGACTTGCCCAGTCCGTGGTATTTTGTGGAAGAGCCACACTAAAGGGGCCAAAGAGACACACTCAAGGGGCCAAAGTGCCTCAAGTGGCTCGGAAGCCGCAGTTTGCTGACCTTGGCATTAGGTTAAGATGGGAAAAGGCCATATTAAGTTACGCAAAGGATTTAACAAGAATCACACGGATTTCAGGGAAGATAGGATTGCAACTGATTTTAACAGATAGAGATTCATCCTTTTGTCATATCAGTTAATAAATTAAAACTACATGAAAAATTGAAACAAGTATTTTTAAGATGTTAAATCAATGGGATTTTTTGAACTATCAGTAGTTATTTAGTCATTAATAATGAATGAGAGTAAATACCAATCTTAGACTGAATATTAGAGAGTATTAAAACCCAAGTAAAAGTGGATGCTTTCGTTTTTCCCCTTTAACTATTAGTGCTCTTGGCCTCTTTATGATGTCGCCTCTCAACATCACTAATTAGAACTTCCAGTGCTTAGGTTCTGGCAAATGATAGGTGGGGATAATGTCTGTACCAAGATTGTAAGTCCTCTTTTCAAATTTTATGTTTTAAAATGAGTGAAATGCTCTAGTTAGCTTTACATTTATTCTCTTTTAGTGTACAGAGATGTTTGTTACATTATTATCATGCCATTGATAAAGAAGACATATTCTCAAGCAACATTATAGGTTGTTTTGATCCAAGACTTAACTAGTTCATTCACTTTAAAAAAGCACAGACATGGCTTTAGATAAGTCTTTTTCAATGTGATTCTTACTTCATTTTTTGGTCATTGTATTTTAGAACATAAGACTCCTTCAGGGTCATTTGGTAATTTATGGGAATTAAAACAAAACATCACAGTGACTGGAAAGTGCTACTGACCTTTAGAAGACCTGGGTCAAGGGTACCAAACCTTTGCTAATAAGTGGGGCAGCCCAAAGAATACCATCTAAATGCAAATTGTATCCCCATTGAGAAATACTGAGTATGCAAAAGTACTTTGCAATAAAAGAAGATAATCCAGAATGGGAAGTTTGATTGCAGTTATTTCCTGTTGATTAATATTTTGTGTTAAAATGAGATAGGAAAAGAAAACCTTCCAATTCTGTCTTTTTTCATTTTTACTGTGAATACATTAAACAAAAGCAATGGCATGAACTCTGACATATAAAGAAAAGTTTAACTGTTTTTGGACAGTATTGTTAATGGAAAGATAAAACACAAATCTTAAAAATAAATACTAATAAACAAAACAGGCTTCCCCTTGGTACTGGTTGCCTACTTCATTACAACATAAAGAACATACTTCATACCACGAGATCTCACTCATTTGTGGATAATAAAGAACATTATAAACTGATGAGCAAAAAGATAGATACAGAGACAGTAAAGCATCAAACAGACTGTCAAATTACAGCAGGAAGGTGAGGGAGAGGTGGGGGAAATAAGAGATCAACTGAAGGACTTGTATGAAGGCATATAAGCATAACCAATGGATGCAAAAACACTGGGGGGTGAGGGCATATATAGGTGTGGGGTGCAGGGATAATGGTAAGATATGTACACATATAATACCTTAATAAAAATAGGGGAGGGGATAAAAGTAAAAGACAAAAAAAAAACTATTTCATATTGGGGGGGCGGGAAAGAACACACTTCAGTAAAACGTTTGAGTGTATTTGTCATAATCACTTTAGAATTGTTGATTATTACACAGCAATCTATGTTAGGGTATATAACATGACAGAACTATTGTAATTGCTTTAAAGTGGTTAAGCATAATAATATATTGACATTACTATTATCATGGTTATTGCATGGCTTTAAAAGAACTTCACTGCATGGCTAAAGATTATTTTTAGTTTTATGATTATTTCTTTATTTTATTTTTCTGGGGCAATCTCAAAAGTCTTGTGCTATTATAGAAGGACAGTGGTTAAATTCATAATTAAATAGCCTGATGGTTAGCAAATGAAGTGAATACAAAACCCTTAATAAAAATTCATATTTCCCTGGGTTCAATCCGTAACTTCCAATTCATTTAACAGAAAGGATGTGATGCAGAAAATAATTTTTGACTTTTTCTTTCCTCTGAATTTTAACAATGACAGGACCTTAAGTTTAGATTTGCATGTGTTATTGCCCTGTAGTTGTAGTTGATAAAGAAAATTCTCTTTTTTGAGCTCAGTTCCCCCCCTCTCCTCTATTCCACTTTAATATCTTTATTTGTCCAAATCTAACAACTCCATTAATGTCTTCACACCTCATGGCTTTTGTCTCTAACTCAGGTACGTCACTCAACTCAGTCCTTCCATTCCTAATATTAAATTGTAGGTCTAAAACTTATGAAGGACGTGGGAAAGGTTTTCATAAATATTTGGCATCAGATGTGGACAAAAACTGTTTAAATTTCCAATGTTAGCTTCCAGTATGCATTTTACTTTTCTTTTTTTTTTTTTTTTTTTACATTGAATTGCACTAATAAGGACCTGCCTTACTATGATATCTTGACCTGGTTGACTCTCCTCGATATAGAAGGTTTGTAACCTTGGAGCTTTTGACATTGTAGGCAGGATAATTCTTTATTGGTGTTGAGAACTGAAAATGGGAGCTGCCCTGTGTATTTTAAGATATTTAGCAGAATCCCTGGTCTCTACCAACTAGATGCCAGGATCAGCATGCAAGGGAGCATGGACACAAGCCTACACACAATTATAACCAAAGATACTTCACCTTGTAAAATATCCCCTGGAAAAGGGCATTCAAAGTAAATCCAGGTTGAGAAACACTGCATAAATAAGTGTTAGAAAACAAAAGGAAATTCCACCATATCAACAGTTATCTCTCAGGAAGATGATAGTCATGTGGCAACTGACCATTGCCTTTATGAAAGACCCCTCTAGCAAATACAAGAAGAGTAAATTGGGCCCCACTCAGTCCTTGGAAAACTTCCTGCCAAGACTTTTACAACCTTAGTTGCCACACATCTGTTGCAGAATCTCTAAGTCCAAATCTTGCTCGCAATATATCTTGGGATATTCAGATATGTACTGTGGGCATTTCAAATGAAACTGCAGAAAATATCACACTAATGAGAGCCCTTGTCCTTTGAATTTATTAAATGTTAAAAAA